TCGGATTTCTATCTAACATTTCTGTTTAGACAATTACATGATCCACTAGGAACACGAGTTTTACCTTCAACAATGACCATTTCCTTTTTGTTCTTTTGAAGGACCAACTCGGAGGAGTATTGCACTGATTATTCCGTGTCAGGCTTTATTATTATTCCTGAATCATTCTGAGGTAACTGCTTGTTTGAAGTGATTATGGGAATGAGACTTGAGTAGGAAATCGTTGCCACGTGCAATATGATTCTTGAATACCATTTGGGGTTTCTGAGCTGCTTGTAAAATTACCTGAAGCACCGCATTATCAACGACTACATTTAAACAGTCTGATTTTCTTCTCCAAATGGAATTCGACAGTGTGACAATTCCTTGATGTTAATCAATGCTCAATCTNGCACCAACTCGGAGGAGTATTGCACTGATTATTCCGTGTCAGACATAATTATTGTTCCTGAATCATTCTGAGGTAACCTCTTGTTTGAAGTGATTATGGGAATGAGGCTTGAGTAGTAATTCATTGATACGTGCAATATGAACCTTGAATATCAGTTGGGGTTCTTGAGCTGCTTGTAAAATTACCTAAAGCACCGCATAATCAACGCCTACATTTAAACAGTCTGATTTTCTTCTCCAAATGGAATTCGACAGTGTGACAATTCCTTGATGTTAATCAATGCTCAATCTCAGGTGATAAATCACTCTGAGCACACAAATGATAGGATGGTTTGTGAGTTATGCATGAATGCGTCACCAGTTCAATCTGGCAATCTATGGTTTCAAAATGCATGTGACGTTAGTGGTTTTGGATTGGAGAAAAGCCCAGGTGGAAGGAAGCAGCTTTTTACACTCAGAGAAACTGGTTGCCGAAACAAGGCAAACTAAATAACCTGAAAATCTGTATGCCCTAGATACACATTGACTCGTGGCTATCACCGTAAAAAAGGAAATCAGCTTATTTGACCCGGTCTTCCTCTCATTCCTAAAACATATCATCCTGCTTTTTCACGATATATAACTCGGTTGCAAAAAGTACGGTCAATTGATCACATTCAGCCAAAATCTCCTTTCCAGTTTGCCGAATTCAGTATTGACACAATCTATCGCATTGCATAATTTAGCATTCTTGGGTAAAACTC